TAGTACGCACTGATCTCAGAACACGAACCGCACAAGACGTATCGCGGAATACTAATCAAGGATAAGTAATCACAGACTGGTACTAGCACTGGTACTAGCACGTCATATCCCACGTAACTGAGACGCGAGGAAATGGTCACGTAAATGGTAGTTCGTTTATTGTAAAGAACAAAAGGAATAAGTCGTATGTGCAAAGTAGACACATTTGTTATTCGGGCTTCTACCAATCACATTCCAGTATTCTTGGCATAGTTTTGCTTCTGTCTCTGATTGACTGGTACGATCTACCTATGTTATGTAATCTGAAGCAGTGACACGTACGTACTTTGTTAATGTCGTCCGTGAAGTTTGATTGATTGCAGTTGTCCAAAAACCGAATAGCGTCTCTCCAGGGTTGGCGTCATCTCATAGGGCCGGATCACCACAAATCTTGTCCCTCAAAAGAGCCTCGTCGATTTGACTTGATCTTCTGGTTGGTCGTCGGAGTGTCACTGGGCTATTCTCGTCAGTAGATGTTTCCGGAATAGGGGACTGTGGCGTAGCACAAGGCGGGTTTTCTTGAGTTTCCTTTACAGGGTCTTCATCCGAAGTAGGAATTTCATTAAAGTGAATGTGATTGATGTGGCATCGGTGAACTGTCGCATCTGTCAGGTCGGTGATCTCAATCATAGCTTGACTAATCTTACGGATAATGATTCCTTTTGATGGCCTCATATCGTTTCCTCGGAAGTGCACGATGTCACTTGAATTCACGCATTGTAGTGAGGACCGTAAACTTCCGGCTTTGAACAGTTTCCCTGGGTTCTCTTTGGTGGTGGCATGTACGATATTTCGGTATTGCAGCAAGAAGTTGTCTAGGAGCATTTCCAACTCTGAAATTGTCTTTGTACTTGTAGAGGCGATGGCATTCTTCACCGTTTTCACCATATTTTCGGTTGCTGCGTTCGAGCAGCGATTACGTGGTGCTATGCGCAAATGTTGGCAGCCAAGTTCTCAACTCCTCAGCTCAGAATTGCGATTCATTGTCAGTTACCAACGCTTGTGGAACACCTTCCCGACTGGAACACTTTCGTAGAACCCCCATCACAGATGAAGTATCAGTGTACTGGTTAGGAACACTTCTGGCCACTTTCAGTACGAATCTATGAGTATGTAGTATTTGGAATGGGAATCGAAATCGAATAGCACGAACTCGGAATCGGACTGGAAACCCATTGAATAGCGCAGAGTCAGGTAGAACCAAGACGAGCTGAGGATACAGTTAATTCTATTCAGAAAATCATGGAAATCTAAATCACAAGCAATACACAATCATTGGTCGATTCTTGAATGTCCAATCGACAACAATATAGTTTATTTGTTTGCCTTCTTCCATTCAGCCAATCCGGTTGGTGGCAACTGAGACCGCAGGATTGATCGGTTATTCCATTTCTTGACTGGTTACCTGGATGTCGTACCGCGGTGCGTGCGTACTCGTTACACGATCACCACAGAGTATCAGTGCGTGATAGTGACCGAGAAATGGTCCACAGAATTCGGTGTGCACGAGTTGCTAAGAAATACAGCTTTCTGACCATGGTGTTCCATTCCTTGGTTTTGACCTCTGCTTGAGTAGGCTCGCTTCGCAGTTCTTAGCGATTCGACCGATATCTTCATCTAGGCCGGGCCACCAGCACCTCTGTCGTGCCAACGTGTGGTGATCGTGTAACGAGTACGCACGCACCGCGGGTTAACCGNCCGACCAACCCTGTGGTCTCAATTGGCATCATCCGGATTGGCTGAGTGCAAGAAGGCAAACAGATAAACCATATCCTTGTTGATTGGACATTCAAGAATCGACCAATGATTATTTGTTGCCTGTAATATATATTTCCATGATTTTCTTAATAGAATTAACTGTATCTACAACTCGCTTTGGTTCTACCTGGCTTTGCGCTATTCAGTCGGTTTTCAGTCCGATACCGAGTTCGCGCTATTCGATTTCGATTCCTATTCCGAATACTACACAACGACTTCATCTTCTCTAACCCAGATGGCTCTTTTGCAGATCTTCTAGCACTGCCTTGTGTAGTAGAGGTGGGATGATCAGTCGATCGATGCGGCATAGTATTCCATCAGGTTGTGTACTGATTTCTTCCCGATGCACGTAAATTGCTGGGAACATCCGCTTCAGGTTTGGACACCAGCTTTTCGATAGGGCCGTTATGATATCTGCATAGTATCATCTCGTAAATCAGCGCAACTCCTCTCGTGATACCTGGGCAGCAGTAGCAGTGAAATGGCACCTCTTAGTCGCCTAGAATTTGGACCACCGGGAGAGAAAATCGGCTTGAGGAATCGTTTTACCTGGACGGTGCACTATATCGTATTCGTAGGCAGCCAGTGTAATGCTCCATCGCTGAATCATCGCAGCTGTCAGTTTTGAAATCGACTTTTGTGGATTGAACAGGTACTGCAGGGCTTGAATATCGATTACGACAGTGAAACGCTGTCCAAACAGGTATTTGTGCAGGCATCGGAAAGTCCAATATACAGCCAATGCTTATTTCTGCGTCTGCGAATATCCTCGTTCTGCTGTGTTCAATAGACGAGATGCAGACAATCGGACATCCGTCCTGTTCGAGTACGACACCAATGCCAGCATCTGATGTGTCAGTAATCAAACTCGGGTGTTTCGTTTGAGAGAACGAGGCAAGTACTGGTCGTTCCGTTGTCATCTGAATGAGTTCGCGCAGAATTTGTACACACTCGGTCGTCCATTTCCATTCTGCAGTCGACTGAGCAGCGAACAGCGATTGAGCTTTCGTGACAAAGTTCGGGATGAAACGTGAATAGTACTGGAAATATCCTATGATGGTGATTCGAGTTCAGTCAAAAAATACGATAATCATTGGTGGATTGATTTACTTACCTAATATAAATATTATATGAATTACCGCTTGACATTTAAATCTTATTTCCGTACTGTGCCATCCTGCAATGGATTGAAGGATCATTGTCAGCATGCAACTGACCATGTTCGTGTAGATTATCCGACAGCTATCAAAATGCTTGATTTTGAATACGCTTGATCTTTGTCTAATCACTGAACGTCTTTGAGAATGGGGGATTTAAGTCAGAAAGTTCTATCATTATTGAAGTCGATAGGCCGGGTGCATTAGATAGTTCGTAGACTTTAGGGCACATTTGCAATTACAGTGTGCTGGTTATCCACTTTGTGTTAGTCGATAATTTCATACAGAAGCGGTCCCTCGGTAGGCAGTGTTTTCAAGGGCACGTGGTGATTAAAGACAAATCGAGACGGTCAGTTCATGCATCGTTAAAACCGAATTATCATGTAAAACCAGTAGATTAGGTTGGGCAAGTCGACATTTGGCTTATCGTTAGGGTATAAATGGTACAAGCTAACGAACATTCGGGCCGATTCCAGTTTAGTGAAAATAATCGCCAACAGTTGGATTTATTTCCATTGTGGATGAAGGAGGAATCATCTTTCATCTATGTGGCCAGTGATTCGAGGGAAAGAGTAAACCGCAATATTCACGCCAACGGCTTATGCATGCTAAATGTCTCGTCAAGCGTGCGTTTCATTGTCAGAAATACGTAAGCAGTCGCACTTAATTCAAAGGAATCGGTGTTAGTCGAGGAAGTCAGTAACACCCAATGAAATTTATTCAGTAGGATACTAGGGGCCTAGACTGGTTCCATTCATGCACGGTTCATCCTAATAATCAAGTCTGGGTATGGTGATCGACTCATCGATCCATCTTGAAGTGATTCGCTTCCTTACCCGACCGATAGAGATCGGGTTCACTTATTCGTATCCATGACGCACACTCGATCAACTATCGCGGAAATAACGTTCCCGAGTGGAACGGGTGTGTGTAGGACGGGAAGAACGGCCCATCTCACCTCACCCCACTGAAACTTTCATCCTCACTCGGGAACTCACTCAAAAAGTACTTTTGTTTATTTACGCGGAAGCGAATTCATTCGGACTGGACGGGGTTTAGACAGACCAGATCCAATCGGTGACATTGGACAGCCGAAACACCAATAATCTTGTGGGGTTCCCACAGGAGTGCGATTGGTCGAATTCACGGAAAGTTACAACGGATTGACTTGAAGTTGAAAAGGTATAGACTCGGTCCAATAAGTGACATGCGAGGGTAGAAGAACCAATCAGTTTGTTGGATTTCAGGTAGAATGCGATTGGTTGAATTCACTTGAATTTGAAAAGATAGTTAGCATTTATGGTGTGTGTGTGTGTGTGTGTGTGTGTGTGTGTGTGTGAGTACGTGCGTATGTGCGTGTGCACATTAACGGTTTCAGTCTCGATACACCCAAGGGAAAGGTCATACACTTTTGGACACACAAGGTGGGTTTATTGTGAGCAATCCATTATATCCCCAGTAGCCTTAGTCGATATTTGTCGCAATGACGTAACAAATCAAGAACGCGTTCACTGGATCTTTCTTGTAGCTGCTTCCAATTAGGTGACGTGCGACGGCCGAGGTCGGTCTACACCTTTCGACTGCAAGTGAATACGGTGCGAGTTCCAACCTCTCGATTTCGATTCTGCCGAACGCGCCAAATCTCACTGCCTGACAAGCGATTGCATTCAACCAGAAAGACAGCATATTCCACACTTAAATTTGCTGTTTTGGTGGCCAATTTCAAATTCATCTTCGTGACAGATTCAGTGTTTCGGGATAAATTGCTCGGAGTTACCACAGGAGTTACTCAGTTAGCTAAACCACGTGAATAATTCCAGGATGTTCTAGCCGCCATCAAAGAGAACCCCAAAGTATTCTTCATCCATAGTAGAGGTTCTGTAAAGTGGGCTCATCGAACGGAGTAGTTCAAAGGAGGTAATTCGGACCCTCCACAGTCTTTGACAAGAGACTCACGTTATTGGAATTCTTACAGGTGTTGCGATGAACGACATTCTCAACTGGCTTGCAAGTTTTGAAACGTCAAATGGTATACGTGTTGTAGGTCTGGCCACGTGTTATTGAAGTAAGCGCAACTGCTTAATATCTTTTTTAATCTTTTTATCGTACTTCCTTTTATTGAATATGCAATAGTACAATTTGGTGATTGCTCATGAACTATGAACCCTTTTGTTTTATTGAACACGATATCCTTGTATATTCCGAATCTCCGCTCATTACAGTTCCATTCCGCCGCTGCGTTCTGTCTTCTGATTTCATTTCGAGTCCTAGTTATGGGTCGGACTATTACTGCGCGGAATCCGATACGTATACGAATTACTAATCCGAGTGCTAACCGCAACAACTGGTGTCGCGGTCATTTTGAACCAGTGGAGTCCTGTAATATAGAGTGCTTGAATATACATGCCAGTGCGCGCGAAGTCGAAGACTATCTTGAACGATTCAATAATTGGTTATTACGCGGAAAGGACTCGATGGAGAACGCAAAACAGCTTATTTCCTAACGGTCATCGGAAAGGATGCATACTCATTGTTGAATAATTTGGCATTTCCTGACTCTCCTATATCGTTGTCGTATGAATCCCTGAAAACCTTGCTGCAGAAGCATCTACAACCGGCTAATTTCGAAGCCACTGAACGAGCCAAATTTCATTCACTCACACGTGGTGTAAACCAACCTGTACGTGGCTTTATTTTTCAACTTCAGACTCAAGCATCTCGTTGCAATTTCGGAGATCAATTGCAAATCCAGCTACGTGATCGATTAATTGCTGTTAATAATTGCCCGGAATTACAGCAAAAGCTGCTCATACGCGATTGCACATTTCAGTCGCCTACGACAGTCTGTGAACAGTACCAAGATGTCCGTGCCATTATTTGTGATGAATTCAACTTGTTGTTCAATGCCAGCGATTCCAAACAGTCACCATCTCGACGAAAGCGGTTTTTCGAAGAGGGCTCGAAAACACCAAG